GTTAAGAGGATAAGTCTGGAAGATAATCTAATAGCGTTTAAATAGAATTGAAATGTGCAAGTTAACATTTCTATTGGTCAAGGAGAAAAAAAAAACGCTATTTAACTTTTTTTTTTATCAGAGTATTTGTGATAAATTTTAATTATTTAAATAGAAAAATCAAATAAATTGAACTTAAACAAAATTAGATTTTAAATTAAAATTTAATAATTTAAAATGAAAACATAAATATCCATTAGCTTTTTATTATCCGTTTTTGAAGAATTTTAGGTTTCAAAATCAGTCTTCCTCCCACCGTCCCTTGAAGAAAATTGTGGTTTCTCTTTATTTAAGGTTTTGATGGCAAAATCCAAGGTAATATCTCTTTCAAATTTCCTGCAACTTAAGGCAATCTTGTCATCTTAACCTTACTAGTTGTTGCTCAAATAAAAGCCACAGGGCATACTCTTGAACTCTCAGATGACAGTTCCATTGATGGAGTTCATGTGAATGATTTATGCTTTTCATTTCCTAACTCTTTGCATAGAGATACTCCTAAAAGCCCAATATCACCAAGTCTGCCAAATTATGTTAGTGATTCAAATGATGGGAATGGTATATTTGAATCACCAAAACTGCCAAGTTATGTTAGTGATTCAGATGATGAGAATGGTATATTTACTTGATACTATCAATCCCTTTCCCACTCTATAATTTTAGAACACTATTGAACTGGTTTTTACATTGATGGTTTGTTTGCAGGTAATTAAATGTGTAGGTGATTTGATGGTTTGTCTATTACCATGAGGTGATGTGAGTGCAATTCATACTTTTTGTTAAATTTATATTTGGTAGTATATATTTCTATGTTTTAATATGGAGTTAATAAATTTTTTTGTGAACTTGCATAAGTTAAAGATGTAAAACATGTTTTATCATTCTAAATACTAAAAAGGCAGCAATTCATAAAAGCAATCAAAAGACTCTTCTTTGTGCATTATTAGTAGTTTTATTTTCCCAATTTTAATTAGTTATGCTTGCCTTTTTTGTGTATTTATTATTGTCCACCCACATAGGAGCCAGTGTCTAAATTTTCTATTAACATATCATATAATCTTCATGGTGACCATTCAAGTGCATTTTCAAAGGCCTCAGCCTCTCTCACATTGTTTAACATTCTATTCAATTAAGCTTCTTTTTTTTTTTTAATGGAGCATTTGGAAGAAGATGGGGAGTAACTGATGTAGATAGGGAAGGAAATTATGAATATAAAGGAATATTAAATTGTCAGTAATATTTACCTATTATCTATCAGGATTTATATTGTTCAATAAAGATAAGCTTCTTTGTCTTTGTGATGAACTTACCCTTGTTGATTGCCAAAGTATATTCCCAAACCATGCCTCTCACCTGCTAAGTTTTTTTATGCTATTACATCTGCCACAGATTCTTCAACCTATTATATTGTATGTCAGTGGGTTCTGTATTTTACTTTTTCACTTAATTTCTCTTGTTGCTAGGTGGCTGTTAACATTTTTAGGAACTTGTCACTTAAAGCACAAGTTCTTTGGCTAACTGTCCAATTGTGACAGTACTTATTGAATTGTCCTTGGCCATCTCCATGTACGTGCATAAAGATTAAAGACTTTGTTGCATACAAACACACACATAGGACAAAGCCTTTATGCTTTGAACGTTGAGATGGTTCTGGTTGCAGTTATTAGTGTTGAACTTATTGGTGATGGTGGAAATGTGTTAGTAAAACTAGAATACTAGATGAAGTTCATCTATTATTTAATCCTTTTAATTTTAATTATTGGTGGTTCTGATAATTAATTACTAAGGATAGCTTTGATTGTGAAGCAATGCTTATTGATTGCTTCAACTCTTTTGTATGTTTTGTGATATATCCTTGTCAATGTTTTAATGGTAAACTTGGCCCATGACCATGTGCAGCATCCTTAGGTTCTAAGGTTTTGTGATATATCCTCGTCAATGTTTTAATGGTAAACTTGGCCCATGACCATGTGCAGCATCCTTAGGTTCTAAGGTTTTGTGATATATCCTTGTCATATTTTGGTTTTATTTTATTTTTCAGGTGATGATGGACCAGCTTCAAATGAAATGCTTTATTGTGGCAAAATAATGAACCATATGACATTTTTGTTAATAGAAAAATTATTTTTGTATTGAAAAGTAAAGTTTAGAGATAATTTTGATATTTTTTGAAGTTCAAAGATAATTTTAATATGATAGATTAAATTAATATTTTAATCAATTATTTTTATCAAATTGATATTTTTACCGATTTTGAGTATAAATATTTTATTTTATTTTTATATTATATATTTTATTTTAATTAAATTTGATATGAACATTTATGTAAAATTAATTATTAATATTATAATTAATAAAATTTAAAATATATTCTGAAAGCACAAATTATAAAATCTCAAAATTAATTAAGCAATGTGGAATCTGGTAACAAGAGTGGATTTAGGCAAATCTCATCCAAAAGAGAATCATTAAATTGAAAGACAGTTTCCGCGTTTAGGCGTGCCGATTCAACGTGCTCCACGTTTGTCTGTCTAGGACAAATTCTAGGTAGGTGCTGAAACTAAGAGATAAAATTAAAGTCAATATTTTTAAAATCAAACTAGTGGCGGACCCAACTAGCTATCGATTTCAGTTCATCCAATTGAATTGGTTAAAGGCACCCAAAAATAAATTGAATTGGTTAAACTATTAGTCCGACAAATCATCTATGGATGGATAATTTAATAATTAAGAGTTTTAATAATTAAAAAATTAAATTTTTTAACTAAAAATTTTAAAATTCAACCTGCAATTAAGTGGAAGGAATTTAAGAAAAAAGAATAATTATTTTTTTTATATAGTTAATTATCATGAGATGTACGAAAAACTTTGTTTGACTAATCATTGCGTTTTACACTTTAATTTTAATTTTAAAAAGGTTTTTTATTTAATAATTTAAATAATTTAGTAATAATCACATTTTAATAAAAGTAAAAAATTTTAAATTTAAATTGTATGATATACAGAAAAAAATTAAAAAATTATATTTTATTGTATAACACAAAATAATAGAAAAAAATTTCTAACTTATACTCTTAAGAATATAATTATTACACTTTTTTAGTCATCAAATCTTAAAAAATAATTAAAAGTTAATATTAATTTTAACACTAATATCATTTGTATTATTTTAATTAATTAATTAATTAAATTAAAATTAACTTTTATTTTTTATGTAATTTAATAATTAAAACTTGCAATAAAATTGCACCCCGTACGAGATAAAAAAAAAACCCTTTCAAAAAAAAAAGAATTAAGTATGATTCGATGATGAATAAAATAATGGTTTTTCTACACATTAATGCATTTAATTAATATGTATGAAAAATGTAGATTTTGATTTTGATTTAATTAATTGGTTAATTAAAATTATTAACATGATAAAAGAACAACTTTTATAGTCTTTCAGTCTAATTTTAATATGCTTAGGTTTTTTTTTAATAAAATAGAGATATAATAATTTATTATTTTTTAATTTTATATCCTTATAAAATAATTTAAGATTACATTTATTGTATCTTTTTATAATTGATTTGTACAAAAAGTATAAATATTAACTTCAATTTAATTAATTAACTAATTAAAATTATTCACATAATAATGAGAGTAAAATAAAAGAAAAGTGGGTATCATCTTGTATTGTAAAAAATTAGGTAAAAAAGTATTTTAAAATTATATTATTTTAATAAAATCCTATTGAAAAAAAAAACTAAAACTCTTATTTATTTTTAAAATAAAATAAGGATGTTTTAGTTCTTTTTTCTTAATATTTTATTAAAATGATATAATTTTAAAATATTTTTCAACGAATTTTTTTATAAATCTGATTAATAAACATTGATATCTTAAAATAAAAATCAAATTTTATGATTTTTTTATATAAATTAATTATAAAATGATTCATTTATTGCACTTTAACTTATGTATGTCACAAGTTTGACAAATTTATAATTTATTTAGAAAAATTTATATTTATTCTTAATTTGCTATCTCTTAAATAATATTTTTTTAATTCTTATTTAATATATATTGTAATTATCTTGTTAAAATAAAAATAAATACATTACATAATATTTTAATAAAAAGAGATAACTAAATTTAGATGTTTTAAATTAAAAATTAAGTTTATTAAAATTAAATAAAAAAATAATTTTATAAAAATAATTAAAAATAATATATTTATTACATATATATAATTTATATTTAAAGAGTGTAAATTAGATAAACATATAAATAATAGGCAAAACCATAAGTTAAGCCCCTGAACTAACCTCAGAATCGCTATTAAGCCCCTAAACTTTAATTGATGCAGTTAAACCCTTGAACTCTGGGGTCAAAGCAATTAAGCCCTTCTTCTTACCCCAACTTAACTGCCGTTTGGGATTGCTCGCCTGACTTAACTGCCGTTGAGGACACACCCCGCTTGGCTGCTTGGATGGCAAAATATTGCCATGTCATGCTTACATGGCAAGG